ATGGACTGTATTGGTGGGAGAAAAACACACACACCAAAAATACAACAACACCCATTTCTTAACTTAACTTGGGTTCTGCCAACTCCTCTCCAGAGCCTATTAAGTGACTTCCAAGTAACCATGTGACCAGGGGTTAGACTTTTCTGGGGTTCCATCCATTTTAAGAGGCGGGCAGTTGTTGTTGTTGTTTTTTGCCACATTATAGGGATTTATATACACATTTATAGATGCACAAACATTACCACCTTAATATTCAGTGATTATTAAGTTGAGATTGAGACAGGTTTTCATGGCAAGAATGTCAAAATATTTGGTGAGTACAGACTCCCAAGAAACTAAGCAGGAATCACTATGTTCAGCAGACCCCATGGTAGCAAGTTCACTCCCATTCAGTAACTTTTGATCTTCCAAATATTACTAGACTGCAGTTCTTTTCATCCCCCACTGTTGGTTATACCTGTAAAGGCAGATGGGAATTTCAGTCCAGCATCTGGTGGGCAACAAATTTCTCATCATAATTTATTTCTCATCTAAAACTTTTTCCATGGCAAGACTGAAGAAAATGTGGCCTTCCAGATCTTATTTATTTTATTTTATTTATTAGATTTATACCCGGCACTATCTGGCAGCCAGGCCACTCTGGGCAGTTAACAACAACAAGACAAACAACACAATATTAAAACACAATAAGAATAAAATAATACAAACATTCAACAGATACAATAGCAAGTAAGTTACTGTAAATTAAAACATGGTTGTAAAGATGGTAGAAAGGATGATGAAAGGATGGCAAAATAATACAAGGGAAGCAAAGATATCAGCAACTTAATGCTCAGGGAAAGCCTGAAGGAAGAGCCAGGTTTTCAATGCTCATTTAAACCCATCCAACAAGGGTGCCAGGTGTATCTCCATGGGCAGATTGTTCTACAGGTGGGGGGCGACCACCGAGAAGGCCCAGCTTCTTCTTTCCCTCCGGGTCTCCTTTGGTGTCAAATCCCTCAACTGCCCTGCCTGTGAAGAATGGGTATTATGGACAGATCTGGCTGGGAGAAAGTGTTCTGCTAGGTACTGAGGTCCTAAACCATTTAGGGTTTTGAATGTTATCATCATAACCTTGAAGTCAATGCGGAGATGAACTGGAGCCAATGAAGGGTGGCCAGAATGGGGGAGATGTGCTGAAATTTCTTCACCCCAATTATTAATCTGGCCACCGAACTCTGGACCAGTTGTAGCCTCCACATCAACATCAAGGGTAGCCCCACATAGAGAGGACTGCAGTAGTCTATTCTTGAGATTACGAGTGCATGAATCAAAGTCATAAGTGCTCCTGCATCTAGATAGGAACACAGCTGGGCAATCCTCCGAAGATGGAAATGGGCTGCCCAGACCACAGATGCCACCTGGGTTTCCATGGTGAGATCTGGGTCCAGACAGATGCCCAAGCTGCAAACCTCACTCTTCATGGGAAGAGTCACTCCCCCAAAGGAGAGGGAGTTCCCCAACCCACCGACACCAGGACTGTCCATGCACAAGATTTCCGTCTTAACCGGATTCAACCTCAATCATTTTGCCCTCATTCACCCCAGAACAGTCCCCCTCATTTTGCCCTCATCCACCCCAGAACAGTCCCCAAGCAGCATTCAAGGGACAGAACAGCACCCACTGCAGTTGGAGAAAAGGAGAGATACAGCTGGGTGTCATCAGCATACTGATAACACCAAGCCCCACAACCCCGGATGACCGCACCTAGCGGCCTCATATAGATATTGAATAGCATTGGCGAGATGATTGACTCCCATGGAACCCCACAATTGAGGATCCACGGGCTGGAAGTCATCTCGCCAAACTACACTCTCTGAGGACGGTCCTCCAAGAAGGAATGGAGTTATGCCAAAGTGAGGCCACCAATCCCCACCCCAGGAGGCTACCATGGTCCACGGTATCAAAAGCTGCTGAGCCCGCGGAACCCCACAATTGAGGATCCACGGGCTGGAAGTCATCTCACCAAGCTACACTCTCTGAGGACGGTCCTCCAAGAAGGAACGGAGATATGCCAAAGCGAGGCCACCAATCCCCACCCCAGGAGGCTACCATGGTCCACGGTATCAAAAGCTGCTGAGATATCAAGGAGGACCAACAAGGACATATTGCCCCTGTCAGCCTCCCTCAGGAGGTCATCCTACAGGGTGACCAATGCTGTTTCTGTACCATGCCGTGGCCAGAAGCCTGACTGGAATGGATCCAGGGCGTTTGTTTCATCCAAATGCGCCTGAAACTGATCGACCACCACCCCCTCGACCACTTAAGAAACATTGGCGACGGGCCTATAAGCTCTTGACCACTTTACTTAAGAAACATTGGCAACGGGCCTATAATTCCCAATTTCATCCGCTGCCAAATTAAGTTTCTTTCGAATGGGCCTAATGAGGGCAGAGGAAACCATGCCCTCCTGAAGAGACCCCTTAATTATTGCAGTGGCCCATTCTGTTGTTACCAGATCTTGTTGGAATACATCTCTGTTCATCCCTAACCACCGGTTATGCTGGCTGGGGTTGATGGAAGCTGGTGATCAACAGCTGGAGGATCACACATTCCCAACCCGTAGCTGAAAGAAGCTATGCCTGCCCCAGTTGTTCCTTCCAAAAAGTTTCCTAAAAACAAAACAACTCTTCTTCGCATGCCATCCATGGAGTATATCATCTATATAAAGATCACTACTTGGTTTACTTGCTGCAAGTAATGAAACCCGCTCTCACTCTGTAAAATGGCCTGCTGGTCAGAGAAACCTGTTTCTTTACAGTTCTCACTGGATGCAGCAAGTTTACTGACAGTTGCAGCCTGTATCATTGTCACCTTTTATAGCAAAATCAGCTTGCATGGCTCATCACAAAATAAATGATGTCCCTCCCCCCCCAAAAAAGACTCGGGGCAATCAGACAGGTTTGGTCCATTGCAGGGGTGGATTGGTTTGCTACTTTTTCCTGCAATCACATCATATAGCTGCGGGAGCAAACCAAATCATCCCCAGAATGTTCCCACCTGCACCTTTTTGAGCCCCTATTAGGGGCTTCTGCAGGTAGATGCAGGTAGGATCGCTCTGGTTTGGTCTGTTTGCAATGCATGTGATTGCTACAAATAGACTAAAAGTAAGCCTTGTAGCTGTCAAAGCTGCCTAGGCTCCTTTGGCTGTCTATTTGCCGTATCATGAAATGATTTATGAAGAGAGCCACTTCAAAATATTAGCAAATTCAATGCTTCCTCTGCCAATGGAGGCAGGGGAAATTGGGGGGGGGGAGAGAAAGAGGGAACTAAGACTATTATTCCAGCGCAGATGCACCACAAACAAATTTTAAAAACAGCTTCTTCCCAGAGGAGGGAGGAGACAGGCAGGGACAATGAGGGGTGTTTCCTTCCCTTTTCTTGCACTGTATAAGCCAATATTTAAAGTTGAAAACAGCAAGTATAGAAATAACTAAAAAGGATCAAACAAATATCACACTTAAAAATGGTAAACAAAAGCAACATCGAAAACACATTCAAAGAAGTAAGGCACAACAATCCATTTGGTGACCGAGAGAAAGGCCTCTTGTGATTATTTTAATATTTGAGCAGGCTCATAAAGGGAGGCGTAGTCCTTGGACACAAGCTATTAAGAGAGAAAGGCAGCATCATTCCAGTGATCAGAAAAGCTTTCAGGCATAAGGGGCATTTATGGATGAAACAGCTGGTGTGGTGTAGTCTATAGAGTGACAGACCAGGCCTCAGGATACTTTGGCCAAGCCACTGAAACCCATACGGCTGAGAGTGGCACTAGAAAACAACTCCTTAAATATCTGACTTTGAAAAACTTCATACGGTCACTAGAAATCAGTTACAACTTGAGGGCACATAACACACACATAAGGATGAGAACTGCAGTGAGGCAGCTTCTATGGAGACATGATGAATATTTCAAAATCACTCAGGAAGCAGTTCTGACTTACGGCAACCCTTTTAAGTATTTTCGAGAGCACTCAGAAATGGTTTCAATAAATCAGGCATCTGGCGGGAAAGCCTGAGTTTGAGAGTTCGATTCCCCAGTGTGTATCCTAGAAAACCCAGCCTGCGAGCTGTCCCAGGAGGCCTCCAGAAGGGAGAGGGCAAACCACTTCTGAGTACTGTCTACCTAGAAAACCCTGACAAGGGTTGTCCTAAAACTCAACTGACTTGACCTCACTGTTGTTACGTACTTAAGACCATATCGCCAATGGTGAGGGAGTTGTGGACGTGCAACGTTTGCATCACCACAAGTTCCCCAGCAAAGAGCGGGGCTGAAGCTGCAGAGAAGGGAGTTGTGTGATCCCGGAGGGTGCAGATGCCTTCAAACCTTCCCTTTAAGGCGCGATCAGGCTTCTTCTTCTTCTTTTTAATGCAGTAGGTAGGGGGAACAGCCAGAAAAAAGAGATGCTGTCCAGCGGAGGGGGGGGGGCTACGCGGGGAGGGATACCTAGCCAACAGCAGAGGAGTCAGCTGGCCAAGCGAGACCCTCCTTTTGCGCTTTTCTTCCCATCTGGGTGGCGAGGCGGGGAAACGTCGCGCCTCGGTGCAAGCTTTTTGCCTCCCGTGAAGGAAACCAAAAGGCACGCCGCCGCCCCCTTCCCCCCGGCGGTCCACCCACAGGCTGGCCGAAGGTCGGCGGCGCGACCGTCCCTTTTCGCCTTCCTCGCCGAAGAGACTCATGATTGGATTTGCCTCTGCAAAATGAGGGTCATCACAGCTTTCACTGTTTGTTAGTTTGCTCTTAATGACCAAGCAATGGCCCGTAAAGACTAATGTTCAGGCAATTTGATTGATAAGCAATGTTTGCTTGCATAGCAATAGTTAAGATTTAGCTTGGTTGTGATAAGGAATCCTAAAGAGAATGGCATCAGTTCCTGTGCAGTCTCTAGGTAATTATGCACAGGTTTTAATGGGAAGAAACTGAGGACATTTAGCCAGCTACAAAATCCTGGGGGCGGCTTGGGACGGAGGCCCGCGCCTTCCCGGGAGACGGGGCGGGAAGCGCTGCAGGTCGCGGAAGCCGAGGCCGTCCTCCCGTCGCCGGTTATCGTCTTTGTTTCCTCTTCCGCTTCTCCAGCCAAACTTCGGCAAAAGTTTTGTTTTGTAGTAAGTTGCCGCCGGAGAGGGAGGAGGGTCCTCCTCTTTCTTTGGAGGACTGCTTGGCTAGAGGATGCCATCCACCGGCTTTTACGGGGCGGGAAGCGCTGCAGGTCGCGGAAGCCGAGGCCGTCCTCCCGTCGCCGGTTATCGTCTTTGTTTCCTCTTCCGCTTCTCCAGCCAAACTTCGGCAAAAGTTTTGTTTTGTAGTAAGTTGCCGCCGGAGAGGGAGGAGGGTCCTCCTCTTTCTTTGGAGGACTGCTTGGCTAGAGGATGCCATCCACCGGCTTTTAACCTACCCTTTTACCTTATTGTGCACATATTCTAACTTCCTTAAGTCTGCCTAGTGTTTGATGCTGCCGACCTTCCCCTGCTCTTCACAGAATTCAAGACTGCTTGCCTCTCCCTCTCTCTTCCCGTTCCTTTTCTACTGGCATAGACTGGCACAGATGTCCCATGACAGCAGGAGGTCTGAGAGATTCTTAAGGGGTGGGGGGCACACACGTTCCCTCCTTCTCTCTCACACACACACACATTTAACCTGGCTATATTCAGTGGTGAAGCGTTAAATGAAAGAGCAGGTACTCCTCCGTCCAGGAGAGTTCAGGATGCAGGCAGGTGTATGAGAGCAAGTACTTTTGTAAAGTGAATGGTTCTTAACTGCCTATTCAGGAACAAGTTACTCTCAGATAGTTTGCATTACAACCAGGGTTCCTTGCAACTTGTCGGAATCCATTTCTCTCCCAGCTACTGTGAGGAAGTAGCAGAGCCCAGAGAGAGCAGAAAGGCAAAGGGAGTGGGGGTGGGGGTGGCAGATGGTTTTGTAGTCCCTCCTAATCAGAAACGTCTGGGTCTTCAGAGCTTAGACTCTGCTTGCAGGCCGTCTCCTTTAGCTCGAGAACTGCTCTAATAATGAGTGCTCTTCAGTCCACTCAGAATTCTGTAAGCAACTGCTGAACAGCCTCAAAGGCAGGAAGCAGGGTTGTGTAGTGGTCTGATTCTTGTACTTTCTCTGTAGCCTCCTCTTTGGCCCTTTGCCTTTATAGAAGGGTTTGGTTCCCCTGTCCGTCTCTTTCTGTTTCACTACTTTTCAGGATAGTGGCTCAACTTGATTTTATTACAATGACAGTGTCGCAGCGTAACCCCACAACCTTCTGCTGCTTTGTTGGTTTTACCCAGGCAACTCTCTGTGGCAAAGATGCCCTTGTAGGAATGCTGTTTCAGGTCATTTGTGCACTCTCTGATTGTCTTTCTCTCACACACCCCTGTCCTTATCCTGAAGGTGTGGGTCTCCCACCTCATCATGGAGCCTTCCACTCCCACCTCATCATGGAGCCATCATTGCGGGGGTGGGGCTGGATGTTGTATGTCTAGACCTTGATGTTTCCAGGACTAGAGGACATCTATGCAAAGGTAGTTTCCACTCCCACCTCATCATGGAGGTATCATTGCAGGGTTGGGGCTGGATGTTGTACGTCTAGACTTTAAGACTAGAAAGAAAAGGAGCATCACCTTGATGTTTCCAGGACTAGAGGACATCCTGGGAAATTAAGGTGTATATTTTCTTACAGATGAAGTGTGCGCTCATTGCCAGTGAGGGTGCAGAAGTTCTCTTCTACTGGGCTGATGCAGATTTTGTGGCCACCCTTCAGCAGCGCTTTGGAGCTGGTGATCAAAGCAGTGATGAGGTGAGAGCTGAACAAAGGAAGAGATTGGAAAGGGTTGGATGATGTTGGCGCTCTTGTCTTCAGCACTGGAAAAGCCTGTCAAGTGAAATCCAGACACATAAATTCCCAAAGTGCGAAATAGCAGAACTTGGAAAAGTTACTTTTTTAAATACAGTTCTCAGAATTCCTCAACTAACATAGCTGGGAATTCTGAGAGTTGTAGTTCAAAAAGTATTCCTCCCCCCCCCAAGCTATGTGAAAGAGATGTGTTTGAGCACTTTTGGGTGAAATGCTTAGGGGGTTGTCCAAATCTGGCTGTCAGGGCATTAGATTGTGACTAGTCTATGGAAAGGGCATGGGTAGAGAAAGAGTGAGCAGCATTGCACATGGTGGTGTGAATGAGAAGGTATGAATCTCAGAATGAGGCTGTTCTTTGTAGCTGCTGCTTTCTGACTGGAAATTCCTCTTCATCTCCTCCCACAGTCCCCTGCTTTGGAGGATCGCATCAACACGCTGTTTGCCCCCATGATCATCTCCTGCACAACATTGCTAGAGAAGCTTGGGGACACCTACACTTCCTTCTCTGCTGAAAATGGCAAACATCTTTACGTGTTACATATGGTATGGTCTCACTTCTCCACATGGATAAGAAGACTGGGCCTTCTCAGGAGGGGAGAGCAGCGGTGACCTTCTGGTTATGTCACCTGTCCTAAGACAGCCGACAGGTGTTGAAGCCAGTGACAGAGTGTGCAGAGTGCCTTTCTCGAGTCAGGTGTTGCCAGAGGTCTTTAAGCGCCCGTCATTGGACTGATGGCCGTTGCATAGCAGAACATCTACAGAATGCTGTTGCAATGGGACAGTGTGTCATGAGTACATGGGCAATTTATAAAATGCCTGCTCAGTCCTAATCTCTTTGAGAAAACCTCCCCCTGTGAAGATGACGAGGAATTGTTATGAGGAGAAATGAAACAATTCTGATTCTAAAAATGGCATTGCGACTGTTCAAGATAATATATATATTCATTTACATTTCAAAACATTTAAAGTCCTAACCTTTTTGACCTGAAAAGATTCCTTAAGGTGGCTCCCACCACATACTCAGATTTATAGATAAGACATTCCAAAATTCAGACTAACAAATAAGAGCTGAAGAGCACTAAAAGAGCACAGATTAAAGCAGCAGAGAACATGGCCATGAATCATTTAGAAAGCAGGGAGCATGATGGTGGGCTGGTTAGAAAAAGAGACAACCCATATAAAAATTCAAGGTTAATTAAAAGCTGGTCAGGATGAAAAGACTTGGTGCCGCCATTCTATAATTCAGAAGAGTCAGAACCGTTTCAGCCTCTCTAGGCAGGAAGTTCCTCACTTCTTGTGCTTCAGCTAAGATATCCCAGCCAATCACCCCGCTGGGGGCAGTGGGATTCGGAGGAGGGCCTCCTCCCCCTGCTTCATGCTACCTGGGGGCATGGAAAGGGAGGCCCAGTGGGCGACCCTGATGTCAGAGACTCAATCATGCACATCATGCATTTGGTTTGATAACTCACGTTCATAAAAAAACTCAGAATTCGACAAATTTTGATACTTTATGGTAAACTATCTGCACTACGTTATCTTTTGCCTTCCTTATGATTGTGAATGGTGCAATTTTTCTCCCCTCTTTAAATTTTACAGTTTGGTGAGTGCCTGTACATTGCGGTGAACGGTGATGGATCTGAGAGTGAAGATGACTTGCGCCGGAAGCTCTATGTGCTCAGGAGACTTGCTGAGGCTCATTTTGGCCTTGTCACGCTTGACAGCCAACTTTTCCGCAGGGAGTGAGTGATTGAGCCAATGCGGGATTGTTTTGTTCTTTTTTCTTATTGTGCTGTACTTGATTTTCTCTATCTCTCAATAGGGTGTAGTATTCAAAGCAATGGAACTTGCTTTCCTTATAATCCCATTATGTTCCCCCAATGCTCTGCCTCACTCCCTTTATAAGAGCAACATCTTATAAAGAGCCTTATGGCACAGTGGTTAAACCGCTGTACTGCAGCCAAAACTGTGCTCACGACCCGGGATTCAATCCCAGGTACCCAGCTCAAGGTTCACTCCGCCTTCCATCCTTCTGAGGTTGGTAAAATGAGTATCCAGCTCGCTTG